ACAACTAAAACTGAGTACCTACTGTATACTAAAGGAGCTCTGGTGGCAGAGTGCCTAAGGCATTTGACTGCTAACCAGAAGGTTGACAATTCAAACCCCTAACCACACCCCTGAAGGAAGATGAGGCAATCTACTTCCACAAAGATTTACCACCTCAGAAACCCAATGGGGTCGCTATGAGTTGGAATCAACTCGATGGCAGTGTGTTTGGTTTGGTTTTTTCACTATATACTAGGCACTGTAGTAGGCACTTTGGCAATCTTGAGAGCCCCACAGAAAGGAGAAACGAAAACTGAATTTCCCAGAGTTTCCTCTGAAGGCTCTGCTGTGCTTTGCCCACACGTCCTGAAACCTCAGTGCCTTGGTGTTGGGGAGAGGCTGCACCTGGAGTCAACCTTTCTCCCAGGCTGTCGCTCCAGCAGGAATAAGGCAATTTGAAAGGTGATACCCCATTCCAGTGAATTTCCTGAGCTCATATAGGCACTGTGTGAGGCACTAATGACATGATCTCTTCCCTCCTGGGCCCAGTGGAGTGACAAGTGTGCCACTCAATGTTGAATATAAAACACAAGGCAGACCTTTTGCCTCAAGCAAGAGCAAGATGGCACCAGGAGAAAGAACTTTCATCTGGAAATTGAAAGTTAAGAAGGAGCTGTACCGGTGAGAGGAACAACAGACTGGGAATCCACAAGCAGCTGTAAGTTTCTTGGATGCCCCACAGATCAGGGGGGTTAAGGGCCCAAGAAGTTCTTCTCCGATAGGCAGATGCCTATTTGCAATAATGTGAGGGATACCAGGAATCACCCAAACAGCCTCTCCTACCTCCTGCCATGTTGTATGGAGTTCCAACATTCGAGTATTTTTTCTTTGTATCTTAAATCCTCTTCATTCACTGAAAGGCCGATATTCATATGCCAGAGCCTCTAGGAGGGTGGAATCAACTCAACTAAATATAAAAGATTGCACTGAGCACTTACAGCATGCTTAAGATCCTTAGGTGGTGCAAATGGTCTGCACTAGACTGCTAACATAAAGATGCTATGGAATAAAGGGCTGGCAATCTGCTTCTGTAAAGATTATACCCAAGAAAACCAAGAGCAGTTTCACTCTGTAATACATGGGGTGACCCATAAGTCAGAATTGACACAAAAGCAACAGGTTTGATTTTTGCGGTGGTTGTTTTATTCTGTGTCAAACACAATGAACAAGAAAAAATCCTGGCCCTCAAGATCCTCATTTTTTAAAATGTAATTTTATTTATTTTCTTGTTGTTGTTGAGAATATACACAGCAAAGAATATACCAATTCAAGAGTTTCTACATGTACCGTTCAGTGACATTGATTATATTCATTCAACCATGTAATTATTCTCACCCTCCTTTTCTGAATTGATTCTCCCCCATTAACATTAATTCATTGGCCTTTGAGGTTCCTAATTGATCTTTTGAGTTGCTGTTGTCAACTTGATCCCATATAGATACTTCTTAAGAGAGTATAATGCTCAGCTTAAGAAGAATTCAGAAGATATTTTTGGTTTACAGTTTAAAGATTATTGCAGAGCAATAATTTCAGTAGTGCATCCAACCTTCATGGCTCCAGGAAGTCTGGATTCCATAAGAATTTTAAATTCTGTTCTGCATTTTACCCCTTTTGATCAGGATTTATCTTTGGAATCCTTGATCAAAATGTTCAATAATGGTAGGCAGGCACCATACAGTTCTGGTCTCATGGCAAAGGATGCAGTTGTTCATGGAGGCAATTAGCCAAACATTGCAAATCCTCCTCCTATTCCTGACTCTCTTCTTCCTCTGTTGTTTCAGATGAGTAGAGACCAATTGTCATGTCTTGGATGGCAGCTTAAGACCCCAAACACTAGGTATCAAACTAGAAGGTATAGAGGCATTAAACCTGATATTAGGCCAATTAACAAGGTTGTCCCATGAAACAAAGACCCTAAACCTCCAAACCAAGAATTCAAATCCCATGAGGTATCTGATTGTTCATAATCAACCTCAGTAGCTACTCTTTCTTTTTGTTGTTGTTATAAATATATCTGGTAGCTCTGGTGACATAGTGCCTAAGGCATTTGACTGCTAACCAGAAGGCTGGCGGTTCAAACCCACCAGCCACTCCACGGAAGGAAGGTCAGGCAATATACTTCCATAGTGATACAACCTCAGAAACCCAAGGAGGGGTCTCTATGAGTCGGATCTGACTCAATGGTAGTACGTTTTTATAAATATATCTATTGCTTAACTTTTGCCAATTCAACATTTTATAGATTTACAACTTATTGACAGCAATTACAGTAATTGGCTGTACAAACTTACCTTTAATGAATGTGATATTTCCATCACCATTAACACCCCTGTCCCCTCTTCCTCCTGCCCCTGGTAACCACCAGTAAACTTTGGTCTCTATACATTTGTCTTGTCTTGTCTTTTTATATAAGTGAGGTCATACAGCATTTCTCTTTTTGTGCTTAACTTATTTCAACATAATGTCTTCCAGCTCCATCCATCTTACACTATTGGATACATCAAGACTTAATATCTCCTACTGGCTGACTAATATTTCTTTCCATTGCATATATGGTATGCACCACATTCTGTTTATCCATTCATCTGGTGATGGGCATTCAGGTTATTTCCACCTTTTGACTATTGTGAATAGTGTGCTGCAATGCTGATGTGTAAGTCTCTGTTTAAGTCTCTGCTTTCAAGTCTTTTGGGTATATACCTAGGAGTGGAATTGCTGGGTCATATAGTAGCTCTGTTTTTAGTTTTTTGAGGAACTGCCACACTGTTTTCCACAACTGTACCATTTTGCATTCCCACCAGCAATGGATAATGGTTGTAGTTTCCTCACATCCTCATCAACATTTGCTGTTTTCTGGGCTTTGGGGTTTTTGTTTTGTTTTGTTTTGTTTTTCAATCTCAGCCATCCTAATGGGAGTCAAATGGTATCTCATTGTGGTTTTGATTTGTACCTTTCTGATGGCTAATGACGCTGATTATCTTTTCAAGTGTTTGGTGGTCATTTGAATGTCCTCATTGGCGAAATGTCCATTCCCTTTTGTCATTTTATGATTGGCTCTGGGTGCTAGGAAGCCAGGAGGAGCACTGAGACTGGGGTTGGAAGGCAAGGGTGGTTGAAAGTCTTCCTGAGGGGTTAACACTGGGACTGTCTCAGTACAGATCCAATGGCAAATCAAACCCAACTCATTCTGGGTAATGCACACACTGTATAAGCCTAGCCTCCAACAAGTTCAAAAGCCTCCTAGACCCTTAAGGCAGAATATCTCAACCTCACTTCTACTAACATTTTAGACCAGATAATTCTTTGTCACAGGGAGCTGTTGTGTGCATCATATAATGTTGAATAGCATTAAACCAAAACCAAACTCACTGTTACCAAGTCTATTCCAACTCATAGCTACTCCCACTGGGCTTCCAGGCAGTAAATCTTTACAAAAGTAGACTGCTCTATCTTCCTTCCACATAGAGGTTGGTGGGTTTGAACCACCCTTGGCACTAGTCCACCAGAGCTCCATGATGTTTAACATTTAACAGCCTTTGCACACTAGATTTCAGTAGCATCTCCATCCCAGTTGTGACAACCAAATATGTCTTCAGACATTGTCAGTCACCCTGGGGGACCAATTTGCCCTCAGTAGAAACTATTGCCTTAAGGTTATGGAAGACCAGTGTGAGTAGTTTTAGGAGGAATGAAATCCATACAGTTAGTGTTTAGATAATAAGACTGGGTGCACAATAAATATTGAGTGAATGAATGAATGAGTGAGCTGTCTGAAGCTCCTTTGACATATTCCTTTTGGGGGTCATCAGGAAGAGCCCTGCTTCTTAAAAGCTTGTTAGCAGCAATCTAAGATGCAACTATTGGCCTCTCCTCATCCAGACCAAAAAAAGAGTGAAGAAAATCAGAGCTGCATGGAAACAACTATTCCAAGGGACTAATGGACCATGGGAACCTCAGGATACAAGATCCTGAGACCAGAAAAATTAGATGGTGCCCGGCTACCACTGCCAACCATTGGAAAAGGGATCAGAATTGGATATCCTGGATATAGTGGGAGGAAAATGTGGAACAAAATTTAAAAACAAAAAAGACTTGAGATTACTGGTCAGATTGAAACTGGTGAAACCCCCAAGACTATGGCCCCAGTCACCTTTCGGGGCTGGAATTGAATGAACTCCTATAGCTTTAACGCTCAGCCAAACAATAGACAGGATTATGAGCTGAACACCTACACCAGGGAGATGCACTGCTTAGAACAATCAACCATGGGAGATCAAAAGGGCAGTATTTGCACAGGCAGAAAGGTAGGGAGGCTGGAATGCATAGGTAAGAAGAACACAGGGAAAAGGTAACCACAGGGAGGAAGTAGGAAGAGAGTTGTTACATTGTAGGTATGCACAATCAGTGTCACAAAACAAAATGTCTATGAAAAATTAAATCTGCTCTGTGAAATTTCACCCAAATCACAATAAAAAATTAAAAAATAAAAAAACTGACAAGCCCTGGACTGGTTATTTAGTTCATAGGTGGCCAAGTGAGAGGTATCAATAACACCACAACCATTCATTCAGTGCTCTGTAAACACTGTGTATTATTGGCCAAGCAGCTCAAACTCTCCAAGTCTGATTCCTCAGTTCTTGAACTGGGATACTAAACTATCTTGCATAGTGATTGGGGAAATTAAAAGAAATATTTTACGTAAAACATAAAATACAAAGGGCCTAGGCACTCACTCCTAAGCTTTACCCGCTGAACTTGACGAGGGTGGTTTGGGTATAAACTGTTTTTGTTTCAAGCATGTGTGGAATGCTGGGTGCCTCTGTACCAGAACTCACATATCAGCTATCCAACCCATGCCTCACAAGCATGAACCTGGTTAGACAGCAGAGGACCAGAGAACTGCCCCTTGCCAAATATAACACAGCTCATTAGTGCCTTGTCCGTGAACTGGAAAGCCTCCGTCAGCACTCAGGGCCTCTAGCCTGCTCGCCATCACCACCTCCATCACAATGAAGTTTGTGAGGATCCCGGGTTTTGGGAAAATACTTTTCGTATTTTGTGTCCTGTAATTTTGTATAGACATAGACCACCAGATCTGGAAATGTCTTCTGAAAATACCAGGAGGGATCTCCAATTTTCAACTTTATACTGAAATGAAACATAAATGATTTGGCATGCTTACCTCAAATTCTTCCCCCCTTCACAGAATATGGCCCCAGAGGATTACACAGAATCTGACAGAGCAAGATTCAGAAACTAACATTTCAACTAATAGTGCAAATTTTGGCGACTTATTCTTTCAGAGCATCAGTTTCATCATGCATAAAATGGAAATAATCATTTCACAATCCTTTATCAGTAATTCCAAAACACTCCTGGAAAAGAAAATAGCTCTGGAAACTGAAGGTTTGTGTGTGGGGGTATGTAAGTTGGTAGGTAACGTTTTTGGCAGCAAAAGTTGGCTTAACTAACATGGGGCTATTTTTAGACTTTTATAATTCCACATTCAATTTACTTAGCTGCCAGTTCCCCTGTGTTTCTTCACACAAGGAAGTCAGGAACCTGCTGTTCAAGGAGGCTCAGCAAAAGAAGAAAAGGAAAATTATAGCTTATTCTGCATGTCCATCACTAATTGTAGGCCCTTGTGGTAGTCCTTTTCCAAAGAGAAGGGAATAATTACTTTTCTCTCATCAGAATAAATTTTCTATTTTCCATCAAACAGCAGATACAAATTTAGAATTGGATTTTTAAATTGTTCTCATTTCACACATGATTTACAGGAATGAAAACAGTACTTACCTTTTATTCTTGTCTTCATCAATATGTTCTCCTAGATTCCGGATGAACTTTAGCAGATCTCCCACAGTGTCCTGGTAAAAATTGCCTGTTTTTTTATAGTATGAATTCATTCTTTTCATAACCTTTGCATCAATCTAAAAAACACAAAACACTATGCAAAAACATGGTGGCAACAAAAATAAACACTGATGTAATGCTAATAGGAAAGGGCAAAATACATACTTGAAGATGAGTGTGATTACTATCAATTAATAAAACAAATTGATAGAAAAGAATGGAAGTAAGTATTAGTAAATACTGTTCACTGTAAACGCTAACTGTAGTTCTGTTCGGATGTGGAATCTGAAGTAACTCTAAATTTGTGTCACTATTTTCCAAATGAACAGCTTTTATGGATTATGTTTAAATATATAAAAAAGTAGTTTTAAAATATTTACTATTACATGAGACACTTTACTCACATCCAATTCAATCCAGTTGCCATTCATGGCAACTTCATGTGTGCAAAGCAGAACTACATTAGAGGGTTTTCAAGGCTGGGACCTTGCTGAAGTAGGTCTCCAGATCTTTCTTCCAAGGCATCTCTTTCCGTTAGCAGCTACGGCCTTAACTAGTAGAGCTGCGCAGTATTCTTACTCTTGTGCCTACTCTTTCAAATCCACATTTGATTATATTTCCTCCTTGAAGAGAACTGACCAGATTAAAACCAGGCCTGGAGCCGCTGCCAAAGAGAGTGCTTTGGGGTTTTGTTTGTTTGTTTTGTTTTTAAGAAGTATATTTCCAAAAAATTACTTATCTCTCCTTATCTATAGATCTCCCAGGGCAACTTCTTTCAGACTGATAACCAGTTGCCATTGAGTCAATTCCAATTTAGGGTGACCCCATGTGTATCAGAGTAGAACTGTCCTCCAAAGGATTCTCAATGGCTGATCTTTCAGGAGTAGATCACCAGGTCTTTCTTCTGAGGTGCCTCTGAGTAGACTTGAACTTCTAATCTTTTAGCTAACAGCCAAGAATGTTAACTGTTTACAACACCCAGGGACACTTTCAGATTAATGCTCCCCTCATAACTCAGTGCTCTTATATTTAGAATGCGTTTGGAGTAAGAAAACAAGCAAAACCATGCAGCCAGAGTGTCACTGAGGAAGAGTAACTGTTGACTAGACCAATGCTAGTGCAGATGGTGCCGAGACCACCCAGATGTGCTATGTGTGGAGCCTGTGCTGAGCAATGTGTGTGTGAAATAGGACCAAACGCAGGTTCCTGCCCTGTGCACAATAAGGCCAAAACAGTTTACACACCAAGTTATTAAGAGGACAGAAAATAATTTATTGCAAAGTGGCAATGCAAGGAGTAGGGGTACCCCTGTACCCAGATCTGACTCCCTGAAAAGCCATCAAATTACAGTTTTGTAGGTTTCAGGAGAGAGGGTTATGCATACTCATAAAAATTTCAGGAATTTGGGAGTGAGATGGTTGATGATTGGCTGAAATTTCCTTTGCCTTGGTTTAAAGGGACAGTACTAATTAAAGTCAATGTGCCTGTGTGCCAGATGAGTCACACCAGCTTCCTGTCATCAGCGGATCAGGGCTTAGGCAGAGGGGAGAGTGTCCGTTCCCAGTAACTTTGTTCCTCTCTGCCCCATTGCGCATGTCCTCGGGTCAGAGTTAATTTTCAAGTTGTTTTCTAAGACACATTAATGCGTTTATCACTTGTGCCTAAGAAAACAGCAGGAAAGAATGTTTTCTTTCCATTCAGTTCTTAAGGAACTGAGCTTAATATATTTACTCATCTGTCTCCAACCGGAGTCCTATGTGTTTATTCATCTATCTCCGACCAGGATCTGGGGTGGGGAAATAGTTGAGGGTAATTAAGTTTACTTATCTATTCCCATCCAGGATCCTATCTGTTCTAATTATCTGCCTTAACCAGGGTGGGGGGAATAGTTTGGACTTTACTCGGTTTCATGTGCAGCCCATGCTAAGCAATGCATGTGTGGCAGGGTGGGGTAGTCAAAGGAAAGGACACAGCAGTGTACACTGGAAACCGTGACCTGATGCTACCAAAAATTAATCATGTGGCCATGAAAATGGGTAAATCACTAAAATCAGCACACAAAAAAATAAGTTTAAAAATGAATTAAAAAATCAATCAAAATTCAACACGAGTCAGTGACATTTAGAGAAAAGAATCATTGGGTTGGGAAACAAAAGAACAAGTTTCTCTTCCCAGTTCTGCCACTCTTTGGCTGTCCAGGCCTGGGTAAGCCAGGTACAGCCTCTGTGCCTAAATCACCTCAGCAATTAAATGAGTTAGTGGACACGGTGCCTTCTTAGCTCTGTGTAGTGGAGTAGCTTAAGCACATGACCTCTGTAGCCAGACTGCCTATCTTGCAATCCTGCTGCAACCCCTGCTGATTCTGTGCCTCAGTATGCCCATTGCAAAATGGAGATAACTGCCTCAGAGGTTGTTAAGGATTCACTCTGGTAACATAAGTAAAGTGCTTAGCACAATGACTGGCACTTAGCAAGCACTATATAATTGTTAGCTATGACTATCATTCTCTGGATTCAAAGTTCTCCATCTCAACAAGTTTTAGCTCAAGTTTTATACACATTCATTTGGCAGAGTCATGGCACACTTATCTATGTTAGAAAAACAATGACAGACAAGACAACAGGCAGCCCCTGTCCTCACAGAACTTATAGGCCAGCAGACAAGACAGACAGTAAGCCAGCAATTTTGAGAGTGATGTGGACTCTAAAGACAAGCAAGGGAAGGAAAGAAAAACCAGAACCAGAAACAAAGAGGAGAAACAGTTCTAGGTCAGGACTAGAATAGGGATAATATTGGTTTCGGGTGAAGACCTAGAGACAATACTTTACACATTGTCTCTGATGTTGGCACTCAGCTCACATCACTTAGCCACTGCTTCTTTGGCTTTCTCTGCCCACAGAGATCATGCTGTTTTCTCTATTGTATCCCCATGGCCTGGCCTGGGCCTGGTGCATAGTTGCAACTTGATAGATCTCTGTTAATTAATAATAATTAAAGGTCTGATAGTACTGACCAGATCAAGATGGTGATTGATTTTCTAATGTTTCATTTTATTTTCTTCAAGTTAGGTGAAACTTTTATTAGAGGAGTTTGAATGATCACCTCTCCTCTGCAATCTGTCTTCTCAGCCAGAATAGAGGTCTGGATGTGGATCCTTAGGGCTAGGCTCTTCATAAGCAGAGGAGGTGACAAGTCTCTCAGAATAGATTCTGCTCATGGGAGCTCCCTCTTTGGGCTTACCTCTATCAAATTGGGAGCCCTGGTGGCATAATGCCTATGGCATTTGACTGCTAACCAGAAGGCTGACAGTTCAAACCCACCAGCCACTCCTTGGAAGGAAGACTGGGCAATCTACTTCCGCAGTGATACCACCTCAGAAATCCAAGGAGGGGTTGCTGTGAGTTGGATCTGATTCAATGAAAGTAAGTTTGGTTTTATTAGTTTTTGATCTAATTGGCTGCTCTTGTCACAATAGTAATAGGATTATTAGTCAGACTCCTCTCAGAGAATGAGGCTTGAGGGAAAGAGCCACAGCAAAGGAAAAGACCCATGGGCTGGCATAGGTGCTCCCAAGCGGGAACCTGAATGACTGTGCATCAGGGAGGTCTAGGCCTGGAGAAGAGAGGAGGGGCTGGGCCTCTGAAAGGGGAACAAAGACCCAAGTGAGCAAAGGTGGCCTGGGTAAGGGAAGGGAAAAAAGGAGTACCACCTCTTTCACTGCATGGTTGGACCAGCCCCAAGGGATAAGACAAGTTGGGAAAGCTAACCCAGAACATTTAGAGCCATTTGCCAAAAGAGATAAAGACTCTGTTATAGAGATTCTTATTCCTGGAATAACTCCCAGACTGTAGGAATTTTTTGTACCTTAGAAGTCCATTCAGAAAAACTCATGGAATGTTCAGATGTACTCGGTTCTAGTATTTGGAGAATGTTGCTTTCAATTTTTCGCGTTTTGATGTCAGATTCATTTCCCACGTCCCGAAGGGTCCTATAACGACTGAGGATGACAGAATGATCATTCCATTCTTTCCAGAAAAATAAAACTGTTAGATTTTTATTTTTAATAAAAGTAGTAATAAAACAATCCAATTTAAAAAAAAAAAAAACACAGTCAAAGGGTTTGAATAGATATTTCCCAAAAAACGATATACAAATAAGCACATAAGCACATGAAAAGATGCTCAATATCATTAGCATCTTTTGGGGAAACGCAAATCAAAACCACAATGAGATACCACCACATACCCACTAGAATGGCTATTATCAAACAAACGGAAAATAGTAAGTGTTCAGGAGGATATGGAGAAATTGGAGCCTTTGCCTGTTACTAGTGGGAATGTGAAATGGTGCAGTCACTGTGGAAAAGTTTGGTGGTTCTATATAACTTAAATACAGAACTACCACAAAACCCAGCAGCTCTGCTACTAGGTCACAAGAATTGAAAGCAAGGACTCAAACAGATACTTGTATACCAATATTCATTGAAGCACTATTCACAATAGCCAAAAGGTGGAAACAGCTCAAATGTCCATCAACAGATGAATAGGTAAATAAAATGTGGCATGCACATATAACAGAGTATTATTCATCCGTAAAGAAAAACAAAATTTTCATATATGCTATGACATGGATAAACCTTAAAAATATTGCTGAGTGAAATAAGTGAGACACAAAAGGACAAATATTGTATGATCCCACTTATGTAGAAAATCTAGACTAGGTAAATGCACAGAGACAGAAAGAAGATTGTGATCACCAGGGGTTGGAGGAGCAAGGAAATGGTGAATTATTATTTAGTGGGTACAGAGTTTTTGTTTGGGGTGAAGAAAAAGTTTTCGAAATAGGCAGGGGTGATGGTTGTACAACATAGTGACTATAATTAATGTCATTGAATTATCCACTTAAAAATTATCTACATGGCAAATTTTATGTTATATATATTTCATCACAATACATTAAAAAAAAAGTAGTAAGATAGTATCTTCAAATTTTCTAAATGACAGCAGAGGCAAGCACCTTTCCCCCCCACCCAGAGAGTAAAACAAAATGTACAAAGTCAAGTAACTTTTCCAAGGACACACAACTAATAGGTTCCAAGCTGAGAAGAAAGCCTGGGTTTGCTGGTACTCATTCATGACCCCTGCCCACACCACCTGCATTCTTGAAGCCCACTTACCTCTCCCAACTCCAAAAGAAGGGGTGACCCAGCAGATTACTCAATCGGTTCAGCAAGTTTTCCCCAGGGCCAAACAAGTGGCAAATGAGATCCCTGCTTTCCTCATCTGGAGAGTGTTGAACCACCTCTTCATTACTTTGAGTCTCCAGCTCCTCAAAAGGGATGCTTCCCTTCTCTACCACGTACAGGACCAGCCGTCCAAGGGCCTACACAGAAGACACAGATCAACCCACAGGTGCTGACAGATTCTCTCCTTTATTCAGGTGACCTTGGATGGTGTGGTACAGACTACAAACCATGGAAGATGTGAGTTATCTCAAGAAGTCTATAGACTTTTCAAGGAGACAAGACACTGGTTTATGTATGGAGAACTCTTCAAGACAGGATTTGGTCCACACAATTTAAGTTTTTGTGGAGCAAAAGGAAACCCTGGGCTAGAGTTGTCAAGGCAGACTGCCTGGAGGAAGAGGGATGTGAGGTGGGGTCTTAAGGTATAGATAGAATTTAGATAAACAAGGAAAAGGGAGAATGTTTTAAATGAGGGGAGTGCTGGGAGCTTATCTGGGAACCAGATCTTTAGGTCCATGGCTGTACCAGGCAGCAGATAATGGGGCCAGTCCAGGTTGGGAGGAGAGGGTACAAACAGCCCAGGGGCTAGCCCATGACAGGGAGAAAAGGCAGAGAAGGCCAGCCTAGGCACTCTGCACCAGTCAAGACAACAGTCAGGAAAGGAGTCGACATCTGAAGCCGCCAAACCACAAAGGCCAAGATTTAAAGCCAGTAGAGGCAGGAGGCCAAACACATGGAGGGAGAGTGCTTGCCCATTGGGTTGAGAGAACTCAGCACTCTGGGGAATACTCCTCAAGAAAACGGCCCTGACAGGGCCTTGGTCTACAAAGAAAAGCCTGTCTCCCCTCAGGAGAGCATCCACAGCTATTTCAGGATCTTAACTTTTTTCCCCAAACTTAGTCTCTTTGAAGCTAGAGACTGGCTCCATTTCTCCCAGGTGTTTTCAAAGGACCTTAGTATTTAGCACCTTTGGAGCTCAGCACACAATTCTGGTGTGAGTGGGAAGATAAATCTCATTTACTTTGTCCTTAGGCAGAAGATAGCCCATTGGAGGAGAGCTTGGTATGTCACACTCAATTTACTTATTTAGCTAGTAGAGGAAGAGGGAGAACCAGAGATACAGAAAGGAGCCAAAACCACAGTCAGCTAGCTCCACACAGATCCAGCCTTTATACCTTCTTCTCACCACATTGAAATCTTTTCCCCTGGGAAGAGGCCCAGTGAAATGCTGTTATCTGCAGGGGTGTGAGGACAGTGAGTGGGGCTGGGGAAACCCTTGTATCTCCCAAGACATCAACAATTACTTTTATGATTGTTGTTGTTCTCAGCTGCCATCGAGTTGGCCCCTGACTTATGGGGTGCACAATGGAATGGAAGCCTTGTGATCCACAGGGTTTTCACTGGTTAATTTTTCAAAAATAGATCACCAGTTCTTTCTTCCTAGTCCATCTTAGTCCAGAGGCTCCACTGAAACCTGTTCAGCATCATAGCAACATGCAAGCCTTCAATGACAGACAGATGGTGACTGCACATAAGGTCAGGAATCAAAGCTGGGTCTCCCATTTGAAAGGCAAGAATTCTACCACTGATCAATATGCTGCCTACAAGAGACACATCTTAGAGACAAAGACAAGAATAGATTAAAAATTAAAGGTTGAAAAAAGATATATCAAGCAAACGGCAACTGTAAAAGAGCGTGAGTAGCAATGTTAATTTCTGATCAAATTGACTTTAAGACAAAAACCACCATACAAGACAAAGAAGGACATTATATAATGATTAAAGGATCAACTGAACATGAAGATAGAACCATAATAAATATCTATGGACCCAATGAAAGAGCCCCAAAATACATAAATCAGACTTTAAAAGAGTTGAAAAG